ATTTATTGTACGTATACACAATATTTCTCTTATCGAGAGCAAATTATTTATCTGGTGTTTCTTCGATAAAAAAACAGCTGTTATGCATGGCTGATTTCGAATTCTCTGTTATACACAGTTCGATCCTGTCAACAGATAAATATTAACAAATATCAGTATAAAGGTTTGGAAAGGGAGGGGAGGAAGCTAATTTGGGAATGGCTACAGGAGATTATATTTTTGTAATCTTAAAATTTTTTTTACAAGGAAGGAACTATTTCTATTTCCATAACTGTGATCGGTGTATTCATGTCCCGTATCTCAATTGCGTGGTTTTAAATTTGAATTTGATAACGTGGCATTTTCATTTTTGTGTATGCACCTTCGTTTCGTCGAAGTTTCTTCAATTTCTTTAAATAATATCATTTTGATTTCGTGTCCACGAGAAATATCTTTTTCCTTCCTTCTTTTTTTTTTTCATATATAGTTCCTTCATAAAATCCGCTAATCAATATTTTTTCTTGACCTGCTTAATATATTAGGTGTAGTAAAAAGTCATCGCGTATTTTTTAGCTCAAAGTTGTATATACAATATCTTCGTCAATAATGAATGAAATTCAAATTTAAAAAAAGGGTTTTAAAGCTTGAAATCTCTACTTTTAAAAGCTTATCACATTTTTTAAGTTTATATGAGTTTGATAATTTTTACATACCAAAAACTACGAGCTGAAAAAGACGAAAAATTTTCTTCTCACTTTGTGGATTTGTAACGTGTCCAAAACGAATTTGAGAAAATTTTCGATTACCTATCGTGAAAGCTTGATACTTTCCCTACAAAATCTTTTTTTTTAAATATTCCTACGACTTTTGATTACTGAGTTATCGCGGATTAAATAAAAGAATTATTTTGACTTTAATTGCTCATAACTCCATTAAAAATTGTCGTATCGTATAATTTAAAAAAGAGATTTTTAAAGCTGAAACTTTACTCTATTAAGATATATTTATATTGTTGGTAAGAAAGTAATTGCGGTTTTTACTGATAGATGTCTTTTAAAAAAACGCGATGACTTTTTACTACACCTAATATTCATATGTGCTGTATGTTCAGGGAATGGAAGTAACTCGTTACTTGTAACGAGTTATAGTTACAAGTTACTTTTTTTCATAACTTATTAGTAACTACGTTACTATTCTTTTTTGATAACTGTAACGATAACGTTACATTTTTGGGGTAACGGTAACGAATTTTACAGTTACTTTTATCGTTACTTTTT